GTTGTTTGACTGGAAACTAGTTATTTCAGGATAATTATTCTGAAATAACTTATTACAACGTGTATTTGAGATAACTTATAATATTACTATACTATAAATGATATAAAAGACATCAAAAATTTATTTTGAAATTGTTTTTTTATTCCAATACTATTTATATTTATCATGTTATTATGCTATTAATGATAGGGTAAGTATTTAATTTTTTTAATTTTAAAAAGTTTGGCTTCCTACAAAAATATTTAACCATGGGAATATTGAAAATATTTCTCCGTGTGCATCAATTTATTCTCTTTTTATTTTTTTATTTTTTTAAAAAATACACTTAATGATTTTTCCAAGTTGCATTTTTTGTTTCATCCTTTTCAGAGCTTTTAACTTTTTACATTTTCATATTTTTTTAATATCCAAACATTTTTCTATAGACTATTTTAGACTAATGATCTTTCGATTTTGATGCCAAATATTACACTGAAAACAAACACGACTTATATCAATATTCCTTTTATTTCAATTTATGTAATATAATTTAAATTTTAAAAGTTAAATAATTTAAATTTAAAAGTAAATTTTGACATAAAATGTTCAACCACAAATGAAGCCCAATTAACTGTTTGGACATACTGGGTTGATAGCGGCCCATCACAGAGCGATTGTAAAAAGGGAAAATTGGGGAAAATGTCTTTCACTATATAGTTGAATACACTTATTGCTATATCAAATATTTTAGCGGTAATAAATAGACATATTAAAAAAAACGTTAAAAGTTATATCGGTAATAATTAAGTATTATTAAATTTAATATTGCTAATGGCTTTTGAAATATATATAAAGAGTGTTAATTGATGCTAAAAATATAGATTTAGTGGCAATTGAGCTATTGTGATTAATTAATTGTCATTAAAGATCATTTTTGATATAATGGCAGAGTCTCTTAAATTTGTCGGTAATTTTTATATAGACGTTGAAATTATAACTTATTTTGATTATTTAATATAGTATCTGAACACATAATAAAATATATATTAGATAATTTTCACATCTCATGTAGGTTTCAATTAATGTTGAAGTGTACGATTAAAATAGAAGACATATTTCATGTGATTAACTCATTTATGGAATGAAAGCTTAAGAGCACGTGCAAAAACTTTTTCAAAATATAGATCAAAAGCATCAAACAAAAACACTTTATCATTTTAAGCGATTGCTTAATTAAAACATGTCATAATTCAAATGTTTAACTAGAATTTATCGATAAGTTTAAAGTACTATCAATGTATTTAGCCTAATTAAATATTAGAGAAATTATGTCATCCTTCTACTTTTTTGACATAAAATTATCCCTGAAAATGAAGCAAATACGTCCTTGAGATATTGAAAATAGAGCAATTATATTCTTCATTAGCCAAGTAGAGCATACATGTTTACTTCATTAATAAGGTTCAATAATTATTTCTATGTTGAGTATTTGGCACATCATAGAAGTTCACCTCAAATCAATATTAGAGGTAACTACATCATAAAGAGCATATGTTATTTGAACTATTATTTAATTGGTGCGAATTGAATTCAAATATTTTTCATTTTATTTGAAATTTTTGAAGTTAAAGTTGAAAATTGATTTAACTGTGTTCGATTATATTTTTTGCAAATAATCTATTGAATATTTTTATCTGTAAATGTACTTAGTTAAATACAAATTCAAAAATAAAAAGTGTATTGAAAAACAAGTTATAGTTTGTCTTTCAATTTTAAAATATAACTTCAGGTTGGATACGCTGAATTCAAATATGTGTAAAATCATTTGGAAATAAATAAATAATTTCTATGGTCAGACTAGTATTCATTTTTATTTTACTGCTAATTGTACTTGTAGGGTAATATATATTTAACTCCTACATTAGATTACAAAAACTTGTTTTGTATTTATTTCATTGTCAAAAAGAGACATTAACCTACCTCAATTTTGGATAATTGAAATTGGGCGAATCAAAATAAATCAAATATAATAAATAAACGAATTATTAATCTGCTCAATTTTTTATAAGTTGGTTGATGAATCATGCTAATTTAGCTCCCTAAGAGCCAATTCAACTGATTTAAAATTGGCCAAACTTATTTTTAAGTCTATTTTTTATTTTTGAAAGTGTTTGAAAATATAAAAAATAATTTTAATTAAGTCAAAAACGACTTAAATAAGTTAAAAAGTGTTTGACAAGATAAAAAATGACTTAAAACAAGTTGAAACACAAAAGTAGGTCACTCATATTTTTTATTTTTTAATTTAAAAGTCATTTCAATATAAATTTTTACTTTTAACATAAAAACTATTTTTTTTAAATCAATTCAAACGGATTCTAAAACTCCGACCACTTCATTTTCATTAATTAAGTCCATACAAAAAGAATACGAATAAGATTTTTGTGGCCTCTATCGACATACGATCTTAATTATTTTAATTATTATCTTATATCTATGATTGTGAAAGCTTACCAAACTCCATGTTGCATAATTGTTATAGTTTCCCACATTATTATTTTAGTACTATCATATAATTTTGAGTGATCTTCGATTTTATGAATTATTTTTTGTTATTGAGAGTTATATTTAATAACAATTTGTTTCACATTTACCGTCAATACGAGAATCGACTAATTTTATTTAATTTTTAAAAAAAGATATAGACAGTATTCTTTTAGAGTAGGAAAGAGAAGTACTTAAAAGAGACCAACAACAAAATTAGAAAAGCATAAATGATTCTAATTTTACATTTTACAAATTTTGAGATTCAAATAAAAAAAAAATCAGAATATAAATAATCATATGATAATTTATATTATGTAATTTTTTTTCCAAATCACACTTTAAGATTTCATACACAAATTTACAATTACAACATAGTTTGACAAAAATAATATGAGCATATCTAAATATTTTAGAGGAGGTTACAGTATCTCAAAAATCAACAAAGTGGCTGTAGTTTAGTGGTAAGAATTCCATGTTGTGGCCGTGGAGACCTGGGCTCGAATCCCAGCAGCCACAAAATACATCTTTTTTTAAAAAAAAAAAGTGTGACGTAAATTGAGATAGAGAGAATAACAATATTGCGGGATGAATCAACCTGAAGAATGGTCGTCTTTTTGTCTGGAACGCGCAATTACCGCGGACCGTGAATCAACCTTCCTTGTTATCGAAGAAGCAGAGACTAACGTCTCGTTATGATCACCATGGACAGGCAAAAGAAAATGAAGCTCCTCATTTTAGCTATTATTATTGCCTTTTTTCCTATGAATATTATGAAGGTATTATTTTAAGGGCCCCTAATAATGTATTCTTAGAGAAAAGAAGATGCAGACTTTCTACCACTTATCTTTTTTTTCCCCCTTTTTTTTTTTGTCCATTTTTGCGATATTATTATTGTTGTTTTTAAAAAAATGTTAGGACAGTGCGAGTCTATGAGGATACATGATTTGCTTTTCGTTTTACCAACTAAAGGGAGTTAAAGCTTAATTTTGCACATCTTCACCTTACAAATTAAAGTCAAAATATTGTTAGATCAATAGTTTTTTCGCGGCAAATTGATAATTGTGATTGATTTTGAATTTTAGTACTCGGATTTCATTTTTCATCATTAGTAGTAAAAGTCTCCGGCCGACATCACTTTTTGCAGATCCATTGAGAAGAAAACATTTCAACTGATAATTCTTTGATATCAAATAAAAAGTAAATAAAAAACAAAATTGCTAATTAACAATATAACAAAGCAAAATGTTGTTACTAAAAAGTTTTTACAATATTATTTTAGAGGTATGTAGAATAAACATAATTTTGATTTATAGGAGTGATTCAGGGAGTTTTGTAGAAAATAGTGTGAATTGTACATGTTTTTGGAAATAATTTGCTAATTTTTGACAAATTTTAACAAAAGGATGAAAAATTTCAAATTCTAAATAATTGAGGGATTAAGAAAAATAATTTAAGAAGTATTTTAAGTTGGAATATAGTTTAAAGATGTTTTTGATAAAAAAAAACCTTCAACAATAACGATGATGGGAGACAATCATATTTATTTTTTTAATTTTAGAAAACTTTAGTTTCCTACAAAAATATTTCTCCATGTCAAATACTTAAAGTTTGTATGGAAAGCCACTAGATAATTGAAATTAAAGTAATTAAAAGTAATAAAAAACAAATTCTAACTAAATATTTAAATTGGGGGAATCAAAATAATCCGAATATAATAAATGCACCGAATCATTAATTTGCTTTAATTTGTACGAGATGGTTGATTATTCCGGCTAATTATTTAGCTCCTTAAAACTCCACCAAATGATCACTTCATTTTCATTTGTTCTCGATACGATTTTACATTATCCTCTATTACATTAAAAAAGAATACTCCGATTAAGACTTTAGTAGTCAATACGATCTTAATTATTATCTTTTGTCTGAATTGTGAAAGCTCATCAAACTCCATGTTGCATAATTTTTACCCACATTAATTAAGAGAACAAGTAATAGTACTTTTATATAATTTTGAGTAATCCTTCTCCATTTTTCGAATTTCGAAATTTAAATTTTTATTCTTTCATATACGTACCTTTTAAATAAGTATTATGTAAATTTATAATACATTTTAAATATGTAAATTTTATTTTAAACACATTTAAAATTTCATACTTGAATTTACAATAAAATTAAATTCGATTCTCGAAATACATAAATTGGAAAAAAGATAATATGAACCTATCTAAATCTTAGCATTTTGGAAGTATATACACACAGGTTTTATGTTCATTTACATAGCTTAATCAATTTATAGTCATTATCATGAACACACAGTAATTTAATACACACACTTTTTTCTTTTTGGCCAGTATAAGATAAGTAGGTAAAAGAGAAAAAACTAGAAATTAACAATATATAAAACGTAAGTAATATACCAGACGGAAATCATCTTTTATGTAAATGATAAACGTATTTATAGATTGAAAAATCACTTAATCTGGAGAACGCTTGCAGTTATTGTATTCAGTACATGGGCGTTGGCCAGGCTTCTTGTCCCCTATGCAATTCCCGTACACTTTCTCGTTGCAGATCGGTGGCTTATCATTAGTAACTTTGTAAGACAAGTAATTTACATCACCTGCAAGGCTAACCTCCCAATCAATACCATCCATTTCTCCGGTGCCGTTCCACCGCCTTTCGACGATCATCGTCCCGTCTGTTACCGAAGAAGCAGAGAGCAAAATCACCATGGATAGCCAAAACAAACTGCAGCAGCTCCTCATTTTAGATATCTCACACTAGTATTGCTTCTTGCCCTATGACTATATTGAGTGATAGAACGGGGGAGGACCCACACTACACATGCATCCGGTAATTTTCAAAAAAATTATATGTATATATATGTATATTTATTTTGAAAAATTGATAGATATTACGATATAATTAACAGTACACACTATATAACACATAGAAGTATCCCTGTGCAATTGATAGTAGCTAAAAATATCACCCTTTAAATCAGGATTCAAATTTTACTTGAATCTATTTTTATTTTATTTGAGCTATATTTATATTGGTGCACCCAAAATATTTAAATCGTGAATTTGTAGGATTGAATATTATGAAGATGTTCACGGATCACTAATAAATGGTCTCTTTTTTTAGGTAGAGTCCCCACCTAATAATGCATTATTAGAAGATTACAAACTTTCTACCAGTTCATATTTTTTGTCCATTTTGCTTTTTATATTATAAAAAAAAGACTAGGAAATTTATTATTTTTTATTTTATAAAATAATAGTAATATTATTAATGTTTTTAACGATTTTTTCAATACTCAAATCCAAATAAATTCTAATAATTGTATCTGTAATTTTGACTTAAATTCATTAGACATTGATTTTATTTTATTTTTTTAAAAAAAGAAGAATCCTTAAATTAGCATAATCAACCACTTAGTCTTTAATGTTAGAGTTGTAATAATTTATAATTTAGTATCTATTTAAGTGCGTTTTTTTTACATAATTATGACATGGTAATAAAAATAAAAATAATAGATTTAACAGAAAAAGGTAGGATATATACTCTCCTATTGGAGAATTCTTTTTGTCCAAGAAATTTAGCCAGATTTTGATTTTTTTCTATGTAATTTTACTTTTTAAAAATGCTTTAACCGTTTTATTTTTTAATACCTTGTACTAAAAATTGGAACAAAAAAAATTTATTTATTTTAAAATAAAAAAATTATTATAGTTTTAAATTTTTTTTAATCAAATTCTGACCAAATTTTCTAGTCATTTATCACTTCTCATACCTATTATAGTATATAAATAAAACAACGGTTAAGACATTTGTGCAACGTTGAGTTTAAATTATTTCCACTAAAAAATGTTATTCTCTAATATAAATACATAAAATGTAGAACTAACATGCAAATTAATTAGCATAAATATATTAGATAAGGAAAAATGAAATAATTTCATAAACCTTCTTCGAATATAGCTTTTCTGAAATGATTTTGATTTGAATTTATAGATATTACCTCTTGAAATTTATGATACTACACTTATTTTTCTTATTTTAATTTTATTGTAACACTTCCTTTAACTTATTAAACATAAATTATTATTCTCAATTATATGTTTAGACTTATTTGAACTTCAAGAGAAACATAATAACCTAGTTAAAAGAATCTTCTAAGTAGCATTATATATATGGATGCAATTTTTATCTAGTTTCTTAAATATTAAGTGAAATATATATATATATATATATATATATATATATTATATATTATATATTTATTTTTCTTTTGTTGGTTGTGTACTTACTTAAAAAATAAAGTAGATATTACAAAAGAAAAAATAACATCACACTTTTGTAGAGAGATTAGACAATAAT